GCCTCCCTAACCTGTTCTTCCTCCCACCTATCCCTCCCTCCCACCTCAAGCCGCACCTCCATCTCCTACCGACCAACCTCATCCCGCCCCCTTGACCTGTCCGTCCTCCCTGGACTGACCTATCCCCTTCCTAACTCCCTACCTACACTCACCTTTACTGGCTCCATCCCCGCCTCTTCGACCTGTTTGTTTCCTCTCCACCTATCCTCTCCTCTATCCATCTTCTATCCGCCTCCCACTCTCTCCCTATTTATTTCAAAACCCCCTTCCCCTCCCCCTTTTCTGATGAAGGGTCTAGGCCCGAAACGTCAGCCTCTCTGCTCCTATGATGCTGCTTGGCCTGCTGTGTTCATCCAGCCCTGCACCTTGTTGTCTCGGATTCTCCAGCATCTGCAGTTCCTACTATCTCTGTCATTAAAAACTCACCTGGTTCACTAATATCCCTTTAGGTAAGGAAATCTGCTCTCCGTGCCTGGAGAGATTACATATCACTCTTAACTGCTTTTTAGGCAATTAAGGATGCGCAATAAATACTGGCCCAGCCAGCAATGCCCACATCCCAATTTAAAAAAATAAACAGCAAAGTAAATTGCATGTTGTTACATTAGATGCCTGGCAATTCATTCACTTTGTTCAAGCCACGTGATTCTGTATTTGTAATCCCACCAGTATTGGCACAGATCATGCCTTTTTGGGTGTTTGTTTCTGCTGAAAAACATTTTCCCTTGTGCCATCTTTAATCCTTTGCCATCCGACTTAAATCAGTCGATTCTCGATCCTGTCACCAATGGGAATTGTTTCTCTAATCTATTCAGACCCTTCATGATTTTGATGGCTTTGGTCATTCATTCTTAGGAAGTTGGCATCTCTGGCTAGGCTACCGTTTATTGCCCGTTCTGTTCTGCTGAAACAAACACAGAATTGTTTTATCAATAAAGAAAAAGGTTTGGTGTCTGTATGAATAAACATATTGCATGTTGAGTTCTATAAAACACTTTAAACATAGAAAGGGATCGTTCAGCTCCCAGGCAGTTAAGAAAGAGGAAGCAGCCATAACAGTCTGATCCCCATATTCTCATTTGCAGATTTTGTCATTGTAGTGCTCCCTGTGTCAGAGCAGAAGTGTAAAATTCCACACAGATTTGCACCCACTCTCTTTCTACAGACCCAGTAGAGCTTCCCTGACCTGGTGTTTGGCTTCTGTGGCTCTGAAACCTCTTCGCTGTCACCCGATGTGTTACTAACTCAGACTTCTGAAAAACCTGCACCCTCTCAGGATTTCTGTTCACCCAATTTTAACACACATCGTGTAACTATCATTAGTATTTGTTGCATTTCCCTAACTGCTCTTGAGAATGGGGTGATATTGCCATTGTCGTGGCAACTGTGTGGCTTCCATTTTGGGTCAGCCATGTTGTGTGGTCTGCAGTCTTGAGCTAGGCTGGGTAAAGATGTCAGATTTCCTTCCCAAATGGCCACGAATTGGCTTTGTGTAACAATCTTTGTCACCATTACACATTCGAGCAGCTGTGGATTTACACCTATGCCTTCAGATGATTAGTCTCGGGCTTTCAGTTATTGGTCTGATCTCTGTGCTGCTCCACCTATACAGGGCAGGCATGCTCCCATTGGGAGACTGACCTCGGAAAAGAAGTTGAAAGTTCCTAGGTCTAGGGTCCTCCAGTATGAAACAGGCCATTCGAACTCTTGTGTCCATGATAGCTCTCTCACAAAGTAACTTGGTCAGTCCCACACTCCTGTCCTTTGCTTGTAATGCTGTTTTTGTCATTATTTTCAGGTAATAATTAAGTCTCCTTTTGAAAGCCATAATTGACTCGACCTGGTGTTTCCCACACCCTAACTAATCACTACTGAAAAACTTTTTCCCTTGTGCCACCTTTAATCCTTTGCCATCCGACTTAAATCAGTCAATTCTCGATCCTGTCACCGATGGGAATTGTTTCTCTAATCTATTCAGACCCTTCATGATTTTGATGGCTTTGATCATTCATTCTTAGGAAGTTGGCATCTCTGGCTAGGCTACCGTTTATTGCCCGTTCCCTAATTGCTGTTGAGAAGACAGTAGTGAGCCAAGATCACATCTTTAAATCAAATCTTCCCTCAGTATTCTCCGAGGAGAACAGCCCAGCTTTTTCCAGTCTATCTGTGTAACTGGTGGCCCTCATTCCAAACCATTGTCATAAATATGGAGCTCTCTAACCTTTTCACATTCTTCTTGAGGTATAGTAAACAAGTGGGACACAGTGCTTCTGCTGAGTTCTAAGTAACATTTATACAGGTTCACCATCCTTCCTTTCGTAATTTACGTGCCCTGTTGATAAAGCTCAACATCCCTTCTGCATTATTAACCACTTCCTCAAACTATCCTGCCACTTTACATTCAGGTCCCTGTGTTCCTGTACCAGCTTTAAAATTGTATCCTTTGTTTTGTGTTGCCTCTTTTCCTCCACTTTTCAGCATGAAATTTCATCTATCAATTTTCTGCCCATTCCACCCACCAGTCCGTGTCATCTTGAAATGTAACGCTATCTTTCTCACACTTTGCAACACTTCCAAGTTTCAAGTCATCTTGCCAATTTGGATATTTTTACCTGTACACTCAAATCTAGATCATGAGCAGGATCAAGAAAAGTAGTGATCGCAGCACCAATGCCTGGGAAACCTCACTGTACACATTCCTCCAGACCAAAAGACAGTTGTTCACAGTACTCTGTTCCTGTCGCTGAGCCAATTTCATATCCATGCTACATCTTTCTTTATTATTTTACGTGGGTCTTTTATCAAACACCTTTTGGAAGTTAATGTGCACAGCATCAACTACATTATATTCATCAGCCCTCTCTGCTACCTCATCAAAAAATTCAACCATATTTGTTAAACATGATTTACTTCTAAGAAATCTATGATGGGTATCCTACTTGACAAGTGACTGATACTTTTGTCCCATAGTATCCTTTTTAAAGCTTTCCTATCACCATGGTAGACTTGACTGTCCTGTATCCTTATTGTGCAAGGCTTACAGCATTAGCAATTCACTGCTCCTCAGCACCATCCCTACATCTAACGATAACTGGAGGCAAGGGCCAAAGTATTTTTTAACTCGAGGGCTGTTGAGATATTTCTTTTCTCAAGGGCTTTTTTTTTTGATTTTCAGAGGCTTCGTTTTTCATTCCCACCCACATCTTTATCAGATAATGCATTTATGTTGACATATGGGCAAGTCCCAATAGCCCAGAAGCAGTGTCCCAGGAATCTGAAATCTTCTTGCCTACACCATACCTGC